TATAGTCAGTGCTAATTCACCGTGGGTCGCCTTGGCTTATTATTGGGCCATCATCATGAAACAGTTTTTGTAATGCATTCATCGCGGTCACATTCCTCATTTCCATATCATACATGGACTGACTAACTGAGGCTTGCAACTCTGATTTAAAACGATGCAAATAAATACGAGATAGCAGAAATGTCCAAATGAGATGCATCCGGATAGATCTAGATCTAGATTTGGATTCTGTGAAGATGGCGGGACCCCCGAAGCGGATTTTTACTTTTGCTTGCCTCCGACGAAGGGGAGCTCTTACGTTTCTTAGTCTGAGATCTTGCAGAATCCATACTTAACCACTCAACCTCTGATAATTCTGAACACAGAAGGCAGCGATCTTGCAAGGTACAAAGATTACCAGTAAAACAAGAAATGCAGAGAGAATGGGGGTCTAATCCGACATGAACTTCTGACATTGCACGCACTTATTCTTAGCCATAGCTTAAAGTTAGACAAAGGAAAAAGGGCGGGAAAATATATATCAAGTACAAACATAAAAATAATATAAAAAGGGGGCAAAGGTCAGGTGTTACAGAGGCCAGAAGATTTGATTCAACTTAGCCTACAGCAAATTTCCACATCTTGGTAGTACAGTCGTGCCCCGTTTATCCGAACCTCAGATATCCTGAAAACTCGCATTCTGAACGACAATCCATTATATGAATTCACAACGTTGTAAAACTACTCACTTGTCCGGAAATCTGGTTTCCGTAACCGGACGGTCATTTTCACATACCAAATGCTAAATCATATACATTTTTCTCGTATATCCGGAAGGCTGAGCACCTGTCAGTATGTTTACACGTGCATTTTACCGAGTGGCCTTGCGTGCCCTAACATGAAACAAGGGTTACAAGCCGGCATTCTTTGAAGGGTGAGAGGATTAACTGCCCTTAATTAGCAAGGTGACACTGAGTTAATCTTGAGGCGTGTCAATTGGTGGGCCACTATAATTACGCTGATGACTTCTTGTCTGATCAGAAACGTTGTCTGTCAACATGGCAAGCCAACCAACAAAGAGTAAACGCCATGCCATTACAGCGAGAGAAAAAAAAAGAAATTTGCAAGTACAAAGAGCAGTATCCCTTAGCAAGTCATGTCGATATCATCCAATCAAATGAAGACCCAGAAGAAGACATGGCCTTGGCAGAACTTCGCGATGCACTACGGTCCTTTGGGCAAGTTGCACCTGTATTTGTTACTGCCAACGACCTTGTGAATGTCGACAGTGACGAACTGACTGGCGAATCCCTGAGTGACACTGACATCCTGCAAGCAGTGTGTCCTGACAACGAGACTGATGATGACAATGAAGTTGAGCAGCCGCCACCTCCCCCACCCGTGTCTCACAACGAAGCTTGTGTCTGCCTTGACCAGTTGATCAGGTACTACGAATGTGCAGGCGAAACTGACAACCTCGAACTCGTACTCGTACTGAAAGTGAAGTCTTCTCGCTTTTCTGCAAAGCCTGTACAAAAAACTTTGACACATTTCTTCAAGCGAACATAACTGCATGTACAGGTATGTTCTCACGTGTATACATATTGACTTGACTACTGTATTTGACAAGATCTGATTTTATGTATGTATTTGTTATTTGTTGATCAATCAATCAATAAAGAATACGTCTGAGGCTTATTATGTTCGTCTGTTTGTCTGTCTTTTTCCATATGGTCCTCGGTTCAGATATCAGAAATTCGTTTATCCGGACAATTTCAAGAAAAACACAAGTGTCCGGATAAACAGGGCACGACTGTATAAGAAGAGAGAGGTGCATACAGTGAGACAGATAAGTTTAAAAATCAATGATATATTGAGTGTAATTCAACCTACAATTTGTAATGTATATAACATGGTACAGAGAATGGTAAAAATATGATGAGATAAGGGATTAAGGCTTTGACACCAAGTGGGGGATACCATGAGTACTAAAAGAGATCTTGAGCACTAAAAGTATTAAACCATAAAAATTTCATATCTAAAGATGCATCAGTTCAAAAGGATAACGCTGCAAAGGACTTGATAGCAGGGAGTGCACATTTTTGCTTCCATGAAGAAAGAATGATAATGTAGGCTGCAATTAACAGACTAAGGTAAACAGTCTTAATTTGCACACTATGCACACTGTAAGACATTAAATTAACAAGGGCAGCTTGGAAATTCAAAACCATTTTGAATGAAAAAGCCTTTCAATGAATTTACAAATCTGGATTTTCATTAATTTAGAAAGGCAACTAATTTTTATCAGGATTAGTGACTAGGTTGACTGCTTGTGATCATATCTGTACAGTGTGGGACACTGCTTATCGTATCAGCCACTGCTAGGCTCAAATCAGCTTGAATATTGATAATTGTAGTATAACAGGAAAGATACTGTGATACATATTAAATTGTTATACCTGCAAGTAAATGATTGTTAACAATGTACCTTAGACAAGATCCTTTCAAAGGCATCAAGAACTGTTTTCTGCCATTCTTTTTGTAACTCAGGAACAGAAATGTCCAAACCAATTAAAACATTCCACAGCTGCAACAGAAAAAATACAATACCATGTGTAACAGGTAAAAATAACATCCCAGATTGTAACCTTATGTTGTTTTGGGAACATTTTTCATACTTAGAACTGAAATATTATTACTGATGGATAATGAATGAATATGAATGAGCAAATCATGCAGCAAAGTACAATGCAACCTTATGACATCATTGCAAATTTGGATCATCTGTACAATGTGTTTGCTTCATAAATCTGTTAATTCAAAGGAAACTATTGCAAACTATAAATGTTATGACAAGAAATTAACAGCTATGTAACAGAAATGCTGAAACAATTTACCAATGCATAGTGCACCACAATAATAATGTTTAGTGTCATGATCAGTCTTAAGTATCTGGAAAGCTCAAGTAGATGCTCAATTTTACGTTTTTTCACTGATGTGATGTGATGGTCATGTTTGTTTAATCAAGGCTTCCAAAACGTTTCCCATAATACAGTGAAATTATAACATATTCACAAGCCTTTCCTCTGAAAAAGTGTAACTTTTATAAACAATGTATTGGGATATATACTAATGTGACTACTGTGCATCATTTCAGCATATCATGATAGTTAATTTCTTTACTTTTATTGTCCTAAGTCAAAAACAGCATCACTAACCTCTAGTGAAGATCTGACAGTAGAGACTGAATAGAACTCAAAGTAACTGTCCATCCAAGTAAGCATTTGATGCTGAACACCTTTCAGTTTTGACAGCATATGGTCAGCACAAAGCTTTTCAAGTTCATTTTTGCATTTAGAATCCAACTTCACATTTTGGTACAGAAGGCGACCATTCCAAAGACTTGACAGAAAGAGATCTGCTGCAGCTGCTACCAAGTCAATAAGTTGGTATTTTCGTTTCAGACAAACCGTTACCACTTCAAAAGCAATCTTGACACTCATCTTTGCTTGAGCTAGATGTCCTTCTAGTGATCTAAAACAGACAATTTAATTTAGATGGGGTGGACTGAGTGTCACTACACATATTCAGTTGTTGATCAAATGGTAGGGGTTCAAAATGGCTATAGCTTGCAAGCCGATATACTTTGTCTAATGTTAAGGATTCCGAAGACCTGAATCTTTTTAGCACTATCTATAAAAACAAACCAGAGTTTCACTGATACAGAAGCTTATTTAACAAGTCACAACTATACTTTTAACAAATTTCTCCTTTAAATGACAGTTACCGCTACTTATGGTAATTTGACAAACTGGATCAAGCATTATTGTTTTTCAAAATGACTGTCTAAATTACCATTTACATAAGCAAATCCACCTTTTAACATTATTTTCAATAAATTTTAGTCTTATCATATGGACTAGTGTTAGTTGAGCTTACAAGGCCAAAAATTGTTTCTAGACTCATGGCTTCAGATCAATGGTTAAAGTCATTGCCATGCATGGTATTTCAATAATTTCAATCAATTTCAATTAAAGAAAAACATATTTTCAAAATAGTTTCCTACATCAGAAATGAATATGATGTTAGCTTTACCTATCCCATCTAGGTATGTGTCATTTTACATTTTAAAGTTTAGATGCAACCAGCAAAATAAACATAATTAAAACACAATTATCATTTATTCATGACATATAACATACATTGCTGATTATGAAAAAACAAACGAACAACAAAAATTATAAGCATACAATCGGAAATCAAAAGTGCAATATTTTGTACTTGGGTTTACTACCCTCAAAACAAAGCACCCGGGATACCGAAAAACCTAGTCAGAGCCAATTGGCGTGCACTCGAGTGTAACAAGAACTTTCATTGGCTGATACGCTCAGGGCTCTTTGAGTGAGAATAGGCATCCCGGTTCAAGCGGTGTTGTGCCGGGAAGGCTAAAATTTATTTTTTAGATGTCCCGGGAAGGCTAAAACGTATATTTCGGATTTTCCGGGAGAAAATACCGCCAAAGCTAAAGATACGGTGCCGGAAAGCATAATCCATGTTGGGAGTAGATAGATTTCTTTTAGAAGCATTAGAATTTTATATAAGTGGCCTTTGTATTTCAGATGTAGTTAATTATAAAAACATGAGAATAATAGTCACTAAGCATAATCCATGAGTAGATAGATTTCTTTTCAAAACATTGTTATAATCTTCTTCGCTTGTTTACAACTTTAAGTGATGATGTAAATACGTTTTTCTATACAGTCATTGGCTTACAGCAACAACTTCATGTTTTGCATCTATTTTGTATTACTTGGGGTTTGAGTGTTATTATTGAGAAAACTACTATTATTGTGTTCAGAAATGGATGCATGTTAGAATGGATGTGATATGGTATTATGGTAATACAAGGCTGAAATGTGTTTCGTTTTATAAATATTTGGGTTTAATATTCTCAAAGGCTATGCAATCTGTATACCAGTTATTCAAAAAGAATTATTTTATTTCTTTCAAAACTGCTTGTACCATCTTTGACTGTAAGATTTTACCGATTCTTTTATATGGGTCCAAAATTTGGGGAACTAAATATTTTCACCGTATAGAAAGGGTTCGTGCATCATATCTTAAATTCTTCCTAAATTTGGAAAAGTATACTTCAAATAAGGCTGTATTAGGGGAAACTAGTCGTTGCAATAAATTTGTACTCACTAGACAAAGAGTAATAAAATTTTAGCTGAAATTATTAACAAGAGTCATCAGAAGATGACAAATCCCCCCAGACCCCATAAATTTGAAAGAACAAATCAACTGACAGTTACTTAAAGTCCAACTTGATTTTTTGGGACTAAGTCCAAATCCTTTCCATGGATATCATGAAAAATGAAAATGCCCAAAATCAGCAAATAGCCAAAGGCAATACTTCAAGATCTTTTGATATATCTGTCAAGTCTTGTAGAAAGATATTGAACGGTTTTCAAGTTGTGATCCGGAAACGCAGCACACCCCTCCCTTTTGAGACTAAGTCCAAATCGTTTCCATGGAAACTGGGAAAAATTAAAATGACAAAAATCTGCAAATAGCAAAAGGCACCACTTTGGGATCTGCCTCACATATCTGCCAACATCACTTGGTCAGTTAGTTAACAATTAGTCTAGTAATGTGTTTTTTCTATCATATCTTTTTTGGGTATGTGTTCAGAACAAAAACTTTTACAAGTACAGACACAAGACAAGGCAAAACTGAATGTTTACAACAAATGTTTCAAAGGAAGATTTTTTTTGTCCAGGATTTTGAGGGGAAGAGGAGGGAGTGAAGGCCATTCCAAATTTTTTATCATATAAACATAACTATCGTTAAACTGTAGCCTAAGAAAAGCAGAACATGTTTTGGAAATATGACACTGATATGTTCAGCTGTTTGAAGAAGTGTTTTTGCATTAAGCGGCCCTATTTCTAACTGATATTGTTCTAATCCATAGGTCAAATGCAGCATCATGTGATTAATTAGTCAAAAAGAGTACACAAAACTAATTTCAGCTGTATTTGCTCCTCAAACATGTGACATGATTGCAATCTTGATTCTGGCAGTGTTTTTTAATCTTTTATAACATGATGAAAAACATCAACAAATGACACATCTAAATAGGAACAAACTTTGGATTTGGTTCAGACAATTCCATTGCCGTCCACTGCTTTCTCTGTGCATCTGCTACAGTCCTTAACCCAGTAGCTAGTTTCTGGAAAAAAACATACAGGAAAAATATTTTCAAGTCAATGGCCATACAATTAACATGGCAGAATACAATAAAATGACAGTGGTAACAGCAAGAAAGACAGTGATAATTCTTTTCACCTAGCAACAACAGTTGTCAAGCTTCAGGATATGATCGAAAATAATGATCTTCATAGACTGCTGGTCTTGATTTAATATGAAAGATAATAGACAGATAAACTCTTGCCTCCTTTATTTCATATATAAAAATACCCTCTCCCCTATACCAAACCAAAATAGCAACAATGTCAATACAAGTGACAAAACCCTTTCAACATCCATAAGAAATCTCTGGTGAAAGCAGAGTCAAGTGTACAATTCCGACTACATTATCAGAATGAATTTCTTTGTGTGCTTGTTTATGCCACCTAAACCTTTACTATCGAAATGAAAATACTCTTCTCTCTGGTGTCCCCCCATTACCCCTACACTCTCAATTCACTTACACTATTTGGGGTCAAAATGTATAGGGGTAATGGGGGGTCTTAAATAAAAAGTGTAGATGATGTACACCCTCTGAAATGTAAAATGGACTCTTTCAATCTGTATGTAAAACAAACAATATATTTTAACTTATACGTTAAATGTTTAAAGTCGCCATTTGAGCCTATATATCCTGGTGTCCATTTCCTTGTATTCTCGTTTGCAGCGTGGTGGGGGTCTGCTGACAACAATTTCCACTGAGGACATAGATGGATCCAGCAGGGGTGGGGTGCAAGTTTATTAAATGACCATTGAAACTCTTGCGAAAACGAGTGAAAATTAACTCCCCACCTATTTAAACTGTAGCGATACCCATCTAATAATGCTTGTTTTCCATCCCTCTGTGATGATACACTTTTGACTTTTCTTAAACATGCCATGTCGAAAATGTGCTTCGAAATGCAATATACATCACATTCTAATGTAAGTAAACGAGAAGCTGATAGTCCTTTTGATTGTTTAAATTGACAACACATAATACCTTCACAAAATCAATTGTGTTACTAAACATTAAAGCTTATGCTCACTGTCTATATCATGCCCCAAGTTTCATGCCTCAAGTTTCTTCAGAAATGAGCCAAGCTTGTTTGTTAATTGGGTGAGTCAATTTGTAAGTTGGGTAGAACCAAAGCAAAGTGTTGGGGTACTGAGAAAACATGCATTGATTAAGTGGTGTCCTCACAATGAGCCTACATGCCATTCTGCCTACAGTCTTTAAACAACATATTACAGTCTGTAGGTTCTGCATGTGTTGGCACTTTGACTTATAATAACATCCTTACTTACCCAATAATGACAAATAGACCAGTCCAGAAAAAAGTCCAAAACATATACATTAGACTCTGTCTAATCGACATTGATTAAGAATAGACTAAATTGACAGTTGTTTTAAGAATGTTATTTTACTTAGTTGATTAAGAAAAGACTAAAAAAGAACAGTTATCAAGCTACAACTGGCTTCTGGGCTTATGAATATGTACTGTCAAAACAAAAGGAATAAAGTCCTTTATATAGAATTTGATACAACACTTTCTAATGAAAGCAAGACAGTCAAAACAGAAGGTTTTTTTGTATATATCGCGTTAGATACTGTTTCTCATATAAACTGTACAATGGCGATGCTTCAGAGAGTAGTAGAGTATATTACCGTACTTCTCAGGCCGAAGGTCAGCCAATGTATGCTGAGAAAACCATTGGACTTGTTACAGAGATGCTGGAGTGCAAGCTATAGTTCATCGAGCAGCATGTCTTCTTCTCTTGCCCATTGACATAGTACAAGAAGCTTGGATAGAAGCACTTGATGACAAACCAAACAAGCCCTTAGTGAATACATTTGTAGACTATGTGACAACAACCTGGGTAGATGACGATGCTATGCTATGCTATGTAACTTTCAGGTATAGCTTGCCTGATCTGGAAACCATTTCTCACACTGCTTGTTAGAAAGTCGCAAAACCAAGATACTGTGCCTTGATGCTGCAAGCCATCTCCTCAAGCTCAATCGTTAATGAACTATATTTTGTGTAGAGATGATGTATATGAAAAGTGTCTTTAAATAATGCTTCATTTGATGCTAATATTATCATCTTAATAAATGATGCATTCTGAATGTTGTTCTTTTTATCTGTTACCTAACTGGATCATATTATGTAGGCATGGGGATGATGAATGTTTTCACTTTCCATTGCCAATGTGCCTACACTCCCCACATTTGTTTTTTAGGACTGTTGGCAGAGTGTCATGTAGGCACAATGTGAGTTCAATGTTTGAGGTGAGGTGAAATAACATTTATAGTGCTAGCCCACTGAGATACCATGCCGCACTGAAGCATGAATACCCCACTCAGACACATTATACTGACTCTGAGCCGACCAGTCCTTGGTGTACCCATTAATGCCAAGCGCCAGGCAGGGACCAACAAGTACCATATTTTAACGTCTTTTGTTATGACATGGTCGGAGATCGAACCCGCCACCTTCTGCTTTCCAGGCTTCAATGTGTAGGTGAACTGGGGTGTAGGTGAAATTAGAGTGTAGGGGTTACACACTGTGGGAGCGGGGAGCAGTGAACGGCAGGCAATATTTCATAGCAGGAAGTGAACAACTTATCACGCGAGAGGTGAGCCGGTTTTATTTTTTAGGTGTAGGAAAATTGCCACTATCTATATTTGTATAGGCCACATTGTCCCCAAAATTCAAAAATTTATGCTGTAAAATAGAAGACACCTGTGAGTGATTCGACCAAATATCTTTCCATTCCGTCATTATACAAGCCCATGAGCCTGCAAAACAATGCCTAGCTTTGGCTATGTTTCCTTAATATGCATAAACATATAAAAATTTAAGGTATCATTGCTGTACAAATTTGAATGGTTAGTTTTGGACCGTTTTCGAGCTTTCATCCTTGAAAGACCAACACCAACAAACAGTTAGTGAACGATTTAAGGAAATCATGGTGAACGATTTCATGTTGAACTCTAATTTACACAGTGAACACTTTACAGTGGTTATTCAATAGAGTTTCTAGTGACAAGGTGTGCTGTACTGCCCCAAAGTAGTGTATTCACAGAGAAAACATATAGAGACATCCGTATTTCAGTCACGTAAAGCTGTTCAATCAACGTGATAATACTTTTTCAGCATTTTCTGTAGTACATAGTAATTACATTTCTTACGTACGGATTCTCTCGGTCAACTTCTATAGCGGAGTAAAAGTGGCAGTGGGTTGTATTCTTAACTATTGTTTCAACATGATCAACATCAGTCGCAAAACATTGCAGATAAAGATACTAGAAGAAGATACTACCATTAAATAAGACACATACCCCCTTGTCAGCACATCTACACCTGTCAAAAGCAGTGCAGTGAAATTGCGGTTTCACTTACAATCTTAAAAAAGGGTGATTTTGAGAATATTGGACTCATGTAACTGCAGCAAAAACAATACAAATATACTATTTCTTTCCACAACATCATCTTTGTGGTTCAGTGCCAAAACGCAGCAATTTTAGCTTGTCCCCTTGTTTTAGAAGTGTTTGAAGAAATATTCGCTAATACGTCACCAAGAAAACATGCAAAGCAAAATGCATGTGCAAGTAAGTGGAAAACCATAGGGTATCGGTCATTTTAAAAAGGTTAACATTTTGTTTAATATTGTCATTCGTTTTTGCCTGGAAAAGAGGAAATCATCATGCCACGACTGAGTGCTGCCAATCGAAACATCGCCATAGGCCGCTTTGAAGCTGGGGAGTCGCAGTCTGCATTTGCCCGACATTACAGCTTTCTGCAGAGCACCATATCTTGCCTTTGGCATTGTTTCCTGCAGACCAATTCCGTCCAAGAAGCAGCTGTCCAAGAGTGACCACCCAAGCACAGGACTGCTACATCCAGATTGCTCACTTGCATCATCGTTTTGCCACAGCCATGGAGACTGCCCATCCCTGGTTTGAGAAGAATTTCCGACAAAGCTGTATAGAATCGATTGCGTGAAGTGGCGATGCGACCAAGAAGGCCGTTTTGAGTAGGACTGCACGGTATTACCAGTACATCACAATACGCCTTTCAAATGATACGGATTGCAATGGGTTTTTGTTGTTGTTGTTGTTATCTTGATGGTATAATTTCAAATCCATACAGATTTTCATTCACACTGACGTTTATTTTATAAAAAAATCCTTCAAAATCAAATCTTAATTCAAAATTTCTGTTATCACAACCATTAAATTTATTTTTATGGCTTTAGCATGTAGAAAATAGGCTCTGCATGTACAATCTAATATTGTCACTCGCTGTCGAACACTCAGGCTTCCAATACATCGCAATACATATCGGAATACGGGTACCAGAATAACAATATATTGAAATACAATTTATTTGATAATACACAGCCCTAGTTTTGAGAGACTTCCATCGGCACAGTCACTTCCGGTGGTGTCGTAGAGTCTTGAACTGGAACCTTAGAAACCGGAGTCGAGTCTGGTTCAGTGATGAATCGTGATTTCTTCTTCACCAGCCAGATGGAAGACAGTGTGTTTACTGTCCAAGAAAATGAATGTTTTGCCCCTAATTGCATTTGACAAGTTGACAGATTCAGTGGAGGCAGTGTCATAGTGTGGAGTGAGATATCCAGTGCATAAAGATCTGATTTAGTGGTGGTTCAGGGGAATCTGACAGCAAATCGGTACATCAACAATGTCCTTGCATGTCACATGCTCCTGACAGAAGGGGTTGCTCCAGCATGACAATACTATTTCACATACAGCATGCACTACGGTCTGCTACCTAGCCAATTCTAACGTCAATGTCTTGCCATGGCCTTCCCGATCACCAGATCTAAATCCGATAGAACACCTATGGGATGAACTCGATCGACGTGTACGTCAACGTCAAAATACGCCTGACACTTCCACAACTGGCCATTGTATTGTGAAGCAAGAGTGAAGCAAGAGACTTATCCAGTCTGTGCTGAGACGGTGCCAAGCAG